CCAGTAGATCCTACTCTTCAAGCAATAGGCTTTGGGACTCATTTCGTTTACATAGTCTTCATTTTGTTTACATCGTCTTCATTTTGTTATCACTGCTTTTAAACAACTATCGAGACTTTTGATCTATATAGTGTTTTCAAATTCCCCCATCTCTCCTTCTCCAGAGGACGCTACAGACAGAGAGAGGGAGGAAGGACAGAAACCACTGAGCATAGAATGAATCCAGGAACAGCCACAGGTGAAAGCTGGGACAACCATACTCAGGTAGATGAAAAGCAGTTTGTTTTTAATAAGAAGTAACCTTAACAGTAACTTGGAAGAGTAATTCTTTATAAAAATCTAAAATGATGACATGGTCAAATCTACTAAGGTTTTCACAAAGCCCCAGTCATTAGGCTTTCTGTGTCATGACCAACTGGCCCTTCCACTCAGTTCTCTCAAGTGCCATAAATTTGTCATCATCCCTACACATCCAAGGACTCGACTCACGAGCTGGCACTAACCTTCTTTATACAACAGTTTTTAGTGATCCTATCTCATCTTTCATCATCAGTTTTAATCTCTTCGAATATGACACCAAAATTTATATCAACCATTTACTGAGAGTATGTCAAGTGCCCATCGTATACCAGGTACTGTGTGGGCAGCAACAGAACACCCTTTCCTGAACCTACTTACAATGCTGTGGGATAGAGGAGGGTAGCACGTGTGAAGTGATCAGAGAAGAGTCAACATAAGTACCCATGGAACTAGAAATAAACAAGTAGGACTTCAGCAAAGAGTGCCTTCTCCAAAAGTGGGAAGGCTTCCTGGAGGTGGTGGAACTTAAGCTGTGTCCCGAATGATGAGAAAAACCTAGATGAGAGGAGGCATTCTGGACTAAAGAAACCCAGTGTGCAAAGGTGGAAAACTAGGGGAGGGAGTGGTCTGCAGTGTACCTGGAGTTGAGCAGGGGGAGAAGTGGAAGTAAGGCTGGAGAGGCAGAGTGGGCCAGTTCTGGAGGGTTTTGAGAGTCAGTTAGGAGTTAAATTAGATACAATATGATCAGCAGTAGGGAATCATGATAACTTCTTGAGTGGAAGACTTAGAGCCAAAGGTAGAGTTTTAGGAAGACTGGGCTAATGGCAGTGGGCAGAAAGGGCTGGAATAGAGGAGGGAGGTGAGGACCCAGGGCACCCAACTGCAGTGAGGTAGGAGAGAGAGAGGGGGTGAGGGCCTTCTGCATTCATGGCCTTACCCAGCAACCCTTTAGCAGGTCAGGGCAAGGCTCTGAGGTTATACTGATGGCTAGTGGCAAGAGGGTAAATGAATGAAAAACTACAGCAAAGGGATGGATGCTATAATAAAGGCAGGTATAGTGTTGGAGAAGGGAGGAAGAAGAGACAGATTCATCAAGGAAGGTGGACACAATGTGATGGTAAAAATGACTTCTGGACTTACAGCTGCAAAAATGAAGAGACAAGTCATTAGTGGGAGTGTGTGGAACGGTGGCATGTTGTGGGCAGGGTCTCTAATCATTTACTCCTGTCCAATTAAACATGACTGCCATTGCAGGACGTTTGACCAGCTGTCCTACTGTCATCTCAAAGTGACCTTGATAAGAGTGAAGCTCCTCTTCACCCAGTTTCTCCAAATGCCTATTTCCCCCCAATTCTAGATTACATTTCTCTCATCTTCGCTCTCTCTTCTCATGTCCTACCCAGTTTGTCAACTAAATGTATTGTCTGGTGTCAAACCAAATTTCACTGCCTGTTCACCCTCTATAACTACAGCCCAATAATCTCCAGAAGTCCTGGTTTCTAATGTAAGCTGGTTTACTGCAAAGTCCCTGCGGGAATGTAAGTATCAGACTTTAAAAGGTAATAGTAGCAACAACTCACATGACCATGGATCAGTCATTATGATAAACACTTCATACACTTCACTCATTTAATCCTCTCAGCAGCCCCAGGAGGTAGGGAGTAGGATTGTTTTACAGTTGAAAAGGAGGTTAGGAGACTTGCCTAACGTTACCCAATGGGGGAGTTGGTGTCCAAACCGGGAGCCCTTGCTGCTAACCGCCATGCTTCTCTGCCTCTGCTCTAATGGTGAATGTCTGCCTTGCCCTGCTGTTTTAGCTCCTTTCCTCCTCCCTGTGTCTCCCCATCAGGGGCGTGTGGAAGTATTTATGGAGAGCAGCTCTGGAACCTTCTGTCCCAGCAAGTGGAGAGACTTGCTTGTTCTTCTTCTCCTCCCAACCTCTGCCCCCCCAAGTATGGAGACTTGCTTTCTCCTCCTTCCTCCTCTTCTTCCTCCTCCTCCTCCTTCCTTTATCTTTATCCCTACTCTCTCCATGCCCAGGATTCATTCCTGTGGTCCTCATTAACCCTCAGAATCACCAGAAGAAGCCCAAGAGAATGTAAGAAATTGGGACTCAATTTTTAGAAACGCTTTTCTAGAGCTCCATGCTAATCATCTCCTTTTCCTCCTCCTGCGACACTGTCACCCTCATCACTGCAGCTGACATTACTGAGCACTTATCCTGTGCTAGGGATGTGCGCAGACTTCACATAGATCCTCTCATTTAGTCCTCTCATCCTCCTGCGAGATGGGAATTATCTGGCCCATTCTACAGTTTCCAAGGTCATACAACCAGGAAGTAGCAGAGCCCAAAAGTGAACTCAGGTCTGGTCAGTTTTGAGCCTGGAATCCTAATTGTCACACGCTGCAGCTTAGCCTAGGTGGTCAGGGTTCTAAGTGAACTGGATTTTAGGTGTCGTGACCGTGAGTGTCTGTCCACCCATCTGGTAAAAAGCTCTGCAAAGCTCTGGCCAGGATTCCTCTACGCTTCCTTCTGATGTGGCTTCACAAAGTTCCGTTTTCCCCTTTGCATCTGAGCGAATCTAAATCTGTCTGCCAGCCTCGCGGCCTCTCACATGTAGTTAACAAGCACATAATGTGCATTTGCTATTTTCATGGGTGTGAAATTAACTGCCTCTTTGTGGTGTATCTAAACCACGCATTATTCAAACTTGGGCACACACACACCACTTCCTTGGTCAGTGGAGTACACGGCAGATAAAAAAGAGAAAAATTTTGTTGTTGTTGTTTAAGTGAAGTGTTACGCATATGGGGCGATCACAGAGGATTCATTTTAATTCAGATCAAAAGGATGAATGATAGGTCTGAATAAGAACTGGCCAGTTGTACTACATCATTCTAACTTTTTTTAAAAAACAGAAACAAATACATGTTGTATGGTAGAGCAGTTAATAAGGAAAATGTATAAATTATTATAAATTACTTAATTCCTTAAAATGATTAATTAGCTTTTATTAATGGGATTAGTCACGGCTACACTGGCTTCATGGGAGTTAGGTGGGCACTGGAGGGATTCAATGGGACTTTGACCCACTCTGCTGGATCTAAAAGCAGGGATTTGCAAACTCAGCAATCAGAAAAACATCAGCTTATAGGAGAAACCAATCATTCAACGTCTGCTCACTGCTGTAAAGAACACTGCGGTCTTGCTTAAGATACGGTTTTAGACATCAGAGAACCGTAATAGAGAACCCTGGATCCTTTGGAAGCACCTGGTTTTTAAGGTTTCAAAGCTATTTTTAACATGTTTCTCTTTTTCTTGAAGCTACAATGTCATGATGATCCTAATACACTATCAAACGCTATTGGCCATTTTCCTCCGTTCCATCTTATTCTACGCCTCAGCAGGCATTCAAAATACCGAAGCACTGTGAGCTCCAAACCTCCCTGGTGGGTACCACCGAGAGATCACAAACTTGGCAGACCCTATTGCTCCTTGTGGTCAGAGCTCTCTTCCATCCTGCATCCTCTTCGTTTTTGCCTCAACTTTGTTTCAACTCAGTTTGACATGTTACCAGGAAGCTAGAACTGTTCAAAAACGTGACCCGAGAGGACATGTCTTTCAATGGTGCTGACAATTACATTGGAGAAGCCTGGTGAATGGAGAACTTCCTGCTCATATTATCAAAATTGTCACAATTACTGAAAAATCTTTTTCCAGATGCTAGTCTATGGCTCTAGCACAGGAATTGCCAACACGAGTTGTGTGATGCCCAGATTAATAAACAGGGGGCATGCTGACATTCTAAAAGAGTGTCCCCCTCCAAATTATTATTAAATTTGTATAATTTAAAATATAAGTTTACATACTATTTTCTTTCCCACTTTCCTTTCTCTGGAGAGAGGAATATGATTAAATGAAACTCCAAAATCTTAAAAAAACACTACTGTGATGTATTTGTCCAAATGTGACCCAGAGCAGGGCTGGTGAAGTTTAGAAATCTGGACACCTGTCATAAAGTCCTTCTGAGACTCCAAGACTCTGGGAGTAGAACCAATAGTTTTTATGCTACAGTATCTCCTGCCACCAAATTTGGAATGGAATTTTAACATTAAATATGGATGGAAAATCCAAAACAACTAAAATTATACCAATTTCAATTAATAAAATAAATATGTGTATACTGAATTGTTAAATTTTAAATCTTCATATTTATACATATCTCAAGCACCAGGCAGCTCTCCAGCCAGCATTATCTGAGAATAAAAATTAATTGTTCTTTTGTTTTCCTACCTTAGAGAATAAAAATACCTGAGTAATTCTTTTGTTTAAAAATACATAATCTAAATATATCTGAATATTTAAGTATATCTACATATTTAATAGTATATTTGCATACATATTTTAAGTATACACAATACATATACACAGGTACACATATACCAATACAGCAAATACCAAAAGGTTTTTGTAAGAAATTTTGTCTGTGAGTTGATTCAAAGCATAAATAATAGACTAAAATTTCTGAATATTTAGACAGAGACCATGGGAAGACCATGTGACACTTTACACAATCACTTAGTACTTAGAAGCATATTTTTAAGCCTAATCATAGAAATGTCGTCAAATATCATAATGCAATGAAATAAAAGTGATTTCTTACTGAATACTGGGAAAGATGTATTTCCTTTCAACACTTGGAATTCTTGTTCTAGTCGTCTCCGTAAATCTATTTGTTCAAATAAAACCTTCTGAAGTTCTTCTAATAAAGAAAAAAAGAAGAGTCATTTTACTAATCTTTACAAATAACTCTCCAGAGAACTGTTATATATGGCAATTTATTATTATAAGACAAAATATTTTGCCAGTTTAAAAAGTGTTGCATAGACATAGGATAGATTTTGTGCAGAAATCCATGAATATAAATCAATGTAATATATTATTTTAAAGTATTATATTACAGTGTCATGTATTGATTGATATGTATGCATTAATCTCAATTATATCCACCCAATGGTCCATATATTATTCATATGTTGCTTGTCAAGCTTAAAATATGGTGTAGAACAAAAATATCCTCCTATTATCTCTATAGTCTTTTAAAGCTAAGAGAAGTTCCACAGAATTAAAACTTTTACCTTTTCCCATATTTTCTACATCCTTTTTGAGCGAATGAGGTGAATTCGTTTCTTGTGTGTGTTCACCTTAAAAAAAAGGAGAAAAAAATATCAGTTTTATGCAGGCTATTTTCTGAAAGTTTTTCTTTTCATTTTCTTTTGATATCTACAAAAGAGCTCGTTGAATATGACCTGAAAGTGGAAGTCCTCAGAACCCAATGTTGTCTTCATGTACTCGTGTGCAATTCCCCTGAAGCATGGCGGGGAGCTAAAGAAAATGAGAGCACAGTCTCCCCAGCCTGTGACGGCAGCTCTGTGGAAGCAGATTTCTGAAGTCCCCCTCCCAGTCCCCGTCACTACCCATCCTTTACTACAAAGGTAATTGCTAGAATGGGCAGAAGAGAAGCTTGAACAGTCAACATTTCCGGAAGAAATCTGATCAGCATCCCTCTCCTTCTAGAAGTGAAGAAGCCTGGTATCAGTTGGAAGGCCCTCAAGACCGTGGAAGCAGAAGCCTCTTGCCTTCTTGAGCTGCCAAACTTTTGGGGCAGAGAAAAAGTGTGGGGAGGAGGCTTTAATTGTCCTTGGGAGAGAATTTATAAGCCTAGAGTGATTTCCTAATAATTGATAGTTTGTTTTTTTTAAAAAATCAACAAAAAAGAAATGCAAAATATTATGTTACCTTGTAATATTCACATGCTTGCTGAGAGTTTCTTAATTACTTGTCTTCAACCAATAAAAACTATATTGTGGATAAAGGTTAGATTGTTGTTCCTACCTATTTTGCTTATCTGATAATTAGAATGATGGCAAGCCAAGAAAATGTATCTACAGTCATAAATTGAGTCTACATAATTCAGAAAACATATATAAACCAAAGAAATCCAATCATTCAGCTAACTAGAAATTCTTTTTTTTCAAATTTCAACCTGCTATCTGCAACTATCCACATAATGTAATTAGGATTTCCATTTTTATCTAAAGAGGTGTGGCAGGACAGACAAAGGTGCTCTAAGATTTCATGGATTTCCCCCTTTCCTCTCACTCCCCAACCCCCGTTAGCTCCTTTCTCTGTATCATTGGTGCTGTTTGCTCACTCGCCTTCCGCACGCACTAGGCGGCCTGCTACTTGAGGCAGGGTCTCTGTCTTTCCTGCATGGCCAGTGCCTAGCCCAGTGCTGGACACATAATAGCTATTCAATAAAGTGTTTTCAGTTTTCACTGAAAGTAAGCCCAGGAGGTCATAAATTCTAAATTATAGAATGGACAGAATGCATCATTTCAATTCTCTCCTCGCTATTTGTTCCTTTCCCTTCCTTAGCAAGAAATGGAATGTAATGGCCCCAGGCACTTGTAGGAATACTGAGAGATCTCACTGTCAAGTTAAAAATTCATGCAAAGCGGGAAACAGAATTTCTCCCCAAAGCAGTGGCCTACAGTATCAAAGACAGACAGGAAAATCCTTAACGTGATATTTAAATGGCAATTCTGCATTCCACCTGATGACTGTTGGGAGTATGTATGTGCACGTATGCGTATATACATATATGTATGCTATGTAAATATATGTATTAATTACATATACACAAATATTCCTGTACATGTACATAGTTATGGGAAGATGCTTCCCCTGGCTGCCCAGCATTAGGACAATACTATCTTTGGCATCCCTGAGTTCCTTAAGGGCAGGCATTTTCTCTACTATCTAGACCATATTTGCACAACTTCATTCCTACTCTCATCTTGGACATGACCTCTCTCTATAGGCTTCTGAACATTAATACCTTGACTTTCTTCTTAAAATAATAAAATAATGAGGAAATATCTGTGAAGTATTTTAAACACAGACCTCAGTATAATTCCTATAAAATATTACTATCTAAAAGAAGAGTAACACAAAGGTTGTTAACAAATCGTAAATACATAAACCAAGAGTAATGGTATTTTGAAATGAAGATAAATGCATATTATGTGCAGTTTTGCCTATGTTTACTCTAGTCTCAGTTAACCAGTCAAATGGGTAACCATTTCATAGTCACATACAATACTGAGTCTGAACAACAGAAGAAACAAGTGGGCATGTATCTCTGCATCTATCTACAGGGCATAATGAGATTTATCATTCCATGTCTTTCCCAACCACTTAAAACATGATTTAGATGAGATAGTCTGTTTCTGAATAGGCAACTCTAGAAGCCGTGTCCTCATCACAGTATAGACTAGATTCTTTTTGATTCATTAGTGTATTTTGTGGGCTTTTTATCTTATATTAAATTTCAATTGGGCCGGCCCTGTGGCTTGGTGGTTAAGTGCGCGCGCTGCGATGCGGGTGGCCCGGGTTCGGATCCCGGGTGCGCATCGCGGCACCACTTCTCCGT